TTATGTCTATCCAGGGTAGTCCCATGGGGCAGGGATGGGCGAGCCCTGTATCGGGGCCGAGGTGGACGGCACTGTCCCCTGCCCTAATGGGCAGAGACCTGAGATTGAGTAGCCGTGGTTGATGGGGGCCTGTTATATATAGGACTTCCGTCCCCTTGCTGAACCTCGTATATCGCTGATCAAATGCAGTGTAATCAATCTGCATGCACGTATCATAGAGTACACAGTACTCCGTTCATTCACAGTAACCTGTTGCGTTGTCATTGTTATTGCTAGTGGGGACTTTAGCAAGGTGACAATGTCCGGCAATGCCTTCTCCCCGGATGAGGTCAGAGGTATGATGCAGTTGTTCGAGACAGCGGAGGATGGTGGGGATAAGAGGACCGTGGGGCCGAGCAACGCTGCGCCGAATCAGAAGGTGTGGCTTTAGACTATGGTAGCGATTGGCGATGCTGCAGTCAGGTTAGCATAAAGGGTGCAGCTCAAGTACGGAGGGAGCAGCAGGCCAAGGAGGAGGAGGCCAAGGCCAAACAGGATGCGATATGGGATGGGGATGACTTCAAGAAACACTCGGGTAGGGAGGAACATTGAGCACCCAGGGATGGTCTCTGCCAGGCGTTGCTATCCCGGAGGCAATTTCTAATGGAGATAGCAAAGAAGACCCTCGTCCGGCACCGGAGTGGGTTGGCACGTAGTCGGGGTTGGCCTATCCCAGTGTGACTCAGATATGAGGTGTTGTATAGGCAGGAGGTATCTGCCAACGATATGTTCCTCAATTTACAGGACACTGACCCTAGCTCGGACAGGTGTACTGATATCACTGTGAAGTGGGGGAGGCTTGAGTGGTAGTCGAGACCACTTGGTCTTAGGATCTACCTCCCCAACACTCAGTTGAAGGACATAACCTTGGACGTACTGAGAGAGCGGATCATGTTACAAGCACCAAAGTAGCAGGGCGTTTCCTACTTGGCACCTCCACCGTGATGTAGGTATAGGCTGTCTCTGCCGTTGCCGTATGCGGTGGATGAGGAGAAGGGCAATGCTAAGTGAGTACAATACTGTGCTGTCACCACCTCCAGTCGCTCAGGTGGGATAAACTGCGAGGATGTTTGTCTGTGACCTTGCCAATGCTACGGGACGTGAAGTGCGTCCAAGCTTGTACTGTTTGAGTTCGAGTGCTATGCAGGTACGTGACAGATCCTCGAGCGGTTGGTGTATCGTGAGTGTTATGCCATGTACATGTTGCTGCTAGACTCGTCACAGTATTACAGAGTTGTGTTGTTCACGTAGATGCGCTCCCTTAGGCAAAGTGGAGAGGGACATGACATCGATCAATCCGGAGTACATAGACTATCGTATACGCGCGAAGTCGGTGCAAGTGTTGCGCACAGCTGCTAGGAGTGTAGTCAGATACGATATAGTCCGAAAGCTAGGCCGAGGCCTATACGGAATAGTATGGCACTGTAGGAGGAAATCGGGTGTCCAATACAGTCTTTCTACTGAGGGAAAATCAGTACCCAAGACAAGATCAGTCGCGGTGAAACGGATACTCAACGCTTTCCAGTCAAATGTTGTAGGAATCACACACATCGCATTCTGGAGAGTTGGTCGGTCACAAATTGTGATCAATGAACTCACTTTTCGAACTAGTGGTTCAAAAACTGACTTGAACTCAAATTCTACTTTGGAGTGGAAACTTTTTTGGCAGTTCAGAAGTACCAAGAAAGTGTTGCCAACGTAGAAATTGATATCGAAACTGATTGGTGGGACTAAAGCTTTAGTGACTGTAGCTGACCGATTGGTGGAATCGATACCGTAACTTCCTCAACTGCTCGGAAATTCGTTCAGGATGCCAAGAGGACGTATCGGGAAGTTAGCATCCTGGCCAAGCTGAGTGGGCATCCAAACATCGTGACCCTGTTGGACGTACGTAGAGTTCCAACTTGACTATCAGTGCGGTGTTGATGTGATAGGCCGTAGGTCATAACGAGTCCCTCTACTATGGACAAAGATATTTACCTCGTCACTGAGTATGTAGACACTGACCTTGCCTCAACCATCAAGGCTGGTAGTCTTGCATTCACTCCATCCACTTTGTTGCTGCTGAACAGGAAGCTTGTCCCCTCTCCATAAGGCCTATGTGGTGTGGCAACTACTACGGGCAGTTAAATACGTCCACTCTGCGAACGTGGTGCATCGCGATATAAAACCCCAAAACATCCTCATTAATGCTAATTGTGAGTTGCTCTCGTACACTACATTGATTCATGAATCATCTAGGTGAGCTGAGACTATGCGATTTCGGCCTGGCTCGACACGTGCTTTCTCTGAGCTTTGATCCGGCTTTGCATCCGTTACCTAGAGGTGAGCCTCTCACGGGGGTTGTCATGTTGTGATTCGGGAACCACATCGAACGATGAGTTATAAGGGTGTGATGTCCTCGGAACTGGAGCAGTGTGGGGAAAGGCACATGGTCAACTCCGTGTGTTGATGACACTACGAAAATTCTGGGGAAATTCCGGAAAATTTTTCTTTTCTGTACACTTCCATCCGAATTCATGTTCAAACTTCTATATTCGAGGAAACTCCCGAACTCAGATGAAGAAAGCGAACATATATCCCAACACTGAGCTGTAGTCGCCGTAGTGTCAGTGCCACTGACTCAGTGGTAGTGGTGGGATTATTCGATGGTCGCAGGTATGTCAGTGGAGCATGTGACGTTGATGTCCGAGGAAGGGGACTATCTTCACATGACCGATTATATATCCAGTAGATGGTACAGAGCACCCGAGCAACTCCTCAAGGCCACCAAGTAGTGGCTGGGTTCTCCCTGCAATGCTTTGAATCTTGATGTTTAGTTATAGCAAGGGTGTTGACATGTGGGCATGCGGTTGTGTCGTAGCCGAGGTCCTGACTGGTCGCCCTCTCTTTCCTGGTAGGAGATTCTCATCTTGGGTCACTACTGTCGAGATAGGCACGTCTGTACTAGAGCAGCTATGGATGATACTTGAGTTCACTGGACTGCCCTCGATGACGTTATTGAGCAGTAGGAGTGAAGTCTTCGGTCATCGATGACTGTGATAAGATATTAACACGGTGTGTGGAGAACAGCTGCTTCAAGGCATCCCTCAACAGCACAGTACGGTCCATGTACCGTCAATAATCCCTCAAGGCAATGTTGAGAGTCTAGACCTCATCGAGACTATGCTACAAGTATGCACACTCTACTTGTGATTGATTAAGTGGCTGTAGTTCAACCCGGACTTCCGAATCACCGCGGAAGAGGCCCTCGAGCATCCCTACGTGGCAGCATTCCACAGCCCTGATGAAGAATTTGCGTAGGAGATTCTCCCTCCGTATAAGTTGCATATATGATTCAAATAAGGTACATTGATAGAAAGAGTGATTCTCCGGGTGAAGCAATGTGTTTGGATGACAATCTCCTCATGACAGTTCATGACTACCGCGATGCCATTTATGGTGGCCTGCTTGCTCATAAACGTGTCGTTCAGAGGCTCCAACTAGCCGCCGCTGAAAGGTGGGCCGAAGCCAGCTACCATGTGGTCTACCCACGTTGTTGTAATCACTTCCATGCTTCGTATTATTATGTCGTCACGTTATGAGTCGAATCATGTGCTATCATCTGTCATCGCTGACAGACGGTCATCCCTCAGGAGGGAGAAGGTTCAAGCCGCAATACATCGCGAGGAACCCGACAGACCACCGACGACTATGTCCAGGGTAGGCTTGAGCTAAACTGCTGCTATAGCTCGTGCTGAAGGCCTGATGGGGGCGTCACCACTGGTGTCATAGTAGATGAGTTCTGTCTCCAAAATGGTGTCTCGACAGAGTGGACAATCCATACTTCACTACTCACATATGCGTTCTGATGAGGATGATTGCTCATTATAATAGGTTCGGTCCACCCCTCGAGTTTTGGGAAAGCCAAGAGAGAAAACGTGACAACGTGCATCGCTTCGCTCCGCTCATTGGATGCCATTCACAAAGTGCGCTGCAGTCCTAGCAAGCCTTGTACGATGTGTACCATTGAAGCATCCATTGACGTGTCATTCAGTGTACCATGGTGTTGCTGCTCTCTCTACGACTAAGGTTGTGTTGGGGCATCACCTATTCGGTTACAGTGAATCTCAATATAGGTTCATGCTAGTATGTCTATCACTGACCTCATGATGCTGTTCTATCAGATCCTTCATATTCTTCGTTTCTACTTATTTCAGAAATGGCAGTTAGTACTCAAGTCGCTGGTGTGGACAGTAATGATGATGACACTGTTGGGTGTAGTGAGCTAATCCAAAG